TTTCTAAAGTCAAAAGGGCAAAAGTGCTACAGGGGAAGGATGCACCCCCACTGAAGAAGACAGTAGATGACTGTGATGTCACAGGTGGTTACAGTGTTTGCACGCATGCGTCCACATTACAGAAAGAGTGATTTTTTTTATTTTTTTTAAATGGAGCACAACATAGAAAAAATATAAATAAGGCTGCATTACATTAAGAGAGAAATGAATACTGTGCCAGAATGCAAAATATTTGTTTACTCGGATTGTTTTAACATTTTCTGCCTCAGGAAACACTTTTAATGGAGTGACGGTGTACCTTCTGCCTGCTGGAATAGGAAATGCCAGATGCCAGATTTTCCAAAGACAAATTCAGCAGAATGGGGGACGAACAGAGAGTTCACTGTGTCCCGGTGTCACTCATGTTGTTGTGGACGACAACGTGGACAGCGAAAGGGCTCTGCGCCTGCTGAAAGTAAATTGTATGCCCTCTGGAGTCCAACTGGTAAAATGTACCTGGCTGAGCTTGTGCATTAGTGAGAAACAGCTGCTAGATATAGCCAGCTACAGCCTTCTTTCACCCAAGAGGTTTGTGATCTAAAAATGCTTTCTTTGAAAGTTAAAGGTAAAATTGTACTCCTGCTGCATGAATATCCCAAGATATTCTCACAAACATTAGAAAATGTGTATCGGCTTATTTGTACTTTACATTTACCTCGTTGACAGTAATATATGTTTTAAGCTTTGTATTGTAATGACATTTTATGTTCTATCCACTTAGTGACTCTGAAACAAAGCACGAAGAAATTAAAAAAGAGTCACTAAATATCAAACCTGATGCAGAAACTGTGATCGAGCCAGTGACTGATCAAGAGGAGAACACAGAAATGGTAAACTTCCAGATCATGTTGAAAACATTGTTTTGCAGCTTCTTGGTGCATTTCAGTCTTTCAGTTAGTAATCATTTGGAGCAGTCAGGGGAAAAAGTTTAGACCCCAAACGCAAGAAACAGAAACAGTTATTTAACATTACATCCTGCCCTCAGACAGTCCCAGACAGCAAAGAGGAAGTGCGGGGAGAAGAAGACGGCGTCTCTCAGAGTGATCTGGAAGCTCTCATCACTGGCCAGCATCCCAAAGAGGAGACTCCTGGCCCCAGCCTCTCCCTTGGTCCAGATACTGCTGCTCAGAAGCCAGTATCGGGGAAGTGGGTCTGTGCCCAGTCCTCTCAGTCCAAAAGTAATAACTTCAACAAGCACATCACAGACAAACTTGAATTGCTGGCCAAGGCCTACACGCATCAGGGGGACAAGTGGAGGGCGCTGGGCTACTCCAAGGCTGTCAACGCACTGAAAAGCTACCATAAACCCGTTACATCATATCAGGTAGCCTTACCCAGATACTTTAAATGCAATGTTTAGATTGCTGATTACCTGCATATGTCATTGTGTACTGTAAGTTTTATCTTCTGTGATAATACAAGGACTGTCTGGCTTTTTTTTTTTTTTTAATTACATTTTTTCCCATTGGTCTCAGGAAGCTTGTCAGATCCCAGGAATAGGAAAACGCATGGCTGACAAAATTGAAGAGATTATGGAGAGCGGTCATTTGCGGAAGCTTGATCACATCGGTGAGGCTGTGCCAGTGCTGGAGCTTTTCATGAACATCTGGGGTGCTGGGACTAAGACCGCACAACTGTGGTACCAACAGGTGAAAACTCACATATTAGTATAGGAGATTGAAGTACAAAGATTGTACCCCGCACAAAAAGTTGTTAGTGAATTATGTTGTCTGTGTCTTTTCTGTCTTACAATATGTTTTACAACACAGTGATATGATATTGACTTCTATTTCATGAAATATAAGGTAACAGAAAGGCGTTTAAGATTGAAATTTTGGGCTATAGCCTGAAAAATGAAACAACCTGACTGATATGGTGCTAAAATTTCTGCCGCACTGGTATTGCTGCACATATTGACTGATTGCAGTGCAGAACTACAGAAGATGTAAGATAATGTAAAAACAGTGTTGCCATTAGACAGTTTGTCTACAAAGAGCTTTGGAATTTATTTTTCAACAACACAGTCATTGCATTTTCTCATAAGTCTGTTAATAAAATAACAAGTTCTGGTGAAAATGTGAGCTACAATATGTATTGTTATACCATTATTGGGTTTTCTAAACTGTAAAATTACTCTATTATGAGATGTCAGTTTTACTACGCCAAAGTTCTTTTAAAAATTCTCCCTGGCTATACTCTGGACTCTGTATAATTAGCAGCTTCAGTCAAATGAAATCCGTATCATTTTACTCCTCCATACGATATTTATTAAAAGTACAGCTGTGACTAGGAATTCAAGTGGGTTCATCCTAAACTCTGATGTAACAGTACAGTGGGTTGAAATTAGTTACGAAGAAATAAGTCATAGATTCAATTGTGAGCTTATTTTCTTTGTGGACATGCTGCTGTGGCACCGAGGTTAACCGTTCTTTCTGGATTCAGCCAGCAATCCACAAATATTAAATAAATGAAGTGATATTTAAATAGGAATAACAGATAGCCTCAAGGACACATCGTATTTAGATCCACTGTCTGATCTAACATGTATTCTGACATTGCCTGTGAGTTTGAAGTTTCTTGTTTATCAAAACAACTGAATGCAACTGTTGTTCACTATCTTGCTTACCGCTAATACGTTTACTAAACTACAGCATTTTGATCTGACTGAGGGGGAAAAAACAGTTGTATCCAGGTGAGACCATGTGATGGCTTATCCGCTTCCATGGCTTCAGCTGGAAGGTGTGCCAGGCTTCAAAATGATATCAGATTTAATGACTCATGAATCAATTTTACCGGAACAAGGTTCCAGGAAACACTGAATCTCAAGCCACTTTCATTCCTGGCTGTGAATGTCTTTAATTTTATTCTAGTTTATTCTAATTTTATTAATAATTAGAATTTTAAAAAATCAGTAAGCAAATGCCAACATAACAGTTTTTTTCTTAAAAATGTCATTTTGCCTTTCAGGGATTTCGTACTTTGGAGGATATCCGTACAAAAGCCCACCTGACAAACACTCAGAAAATAGGACTCAAGCACTACAATGACTTTCTAGACCGAATGCCCAGAGAAGAAGCAGGAGCCATAGAAAAAGTGGTAATGCATCTTCATCTGTCACATTAAGAGCATGTATAATTTAGTGATGATGACTGAAATATCTTTATTTCTTTCACCACTCTAATATGTTTAGTCAAGTTTAAACAGAGTTGAGATATCTGAATAAGATTTGCTTCTTTAACCATCAGAAATGTAGAAAGAGAGTCTGAAGAAGGAAAAAGCTTGTGTCAGCTTTCCTTGACTGCTTGATGATGGAAAAACCAGACTGCCTTTTCACGAAGTAGAGCATCCCAAAGGGGAAAAGTAAATCCTTAAACTTGCTGCATCTTAAGTTAGCCAGATACCTGTTCGCTCCAGAGCGTTAAGTACAACGCTAGTTGTTTTCATATTGTATTACTTAGATTTTCTTTTTCCTACAAAGCTGCCAGATAGAGCGTGCATATTAGATAGATGGCTAAAGCATGTGTGCTCCCTTGAGCTTGTCAAAATTATATGCGATGCCTTAGCAAGGCTACCTCCCAGTATTTGGCTGGGAACAGGTAAAAACTTTCTTTTTTTGCCAGTAAACATACAAAAACAAGCAAATGTGAAAAAAACAACACACAAAAATATCAGCATGCCAATAAGAAGTGGAATGTTTTTGCAGGTAACAGCGTTTGTGCTTTATTAACGTGCAGGTGAGGGATACTGCACAAGCCATCGACCCTGGCCTAGTGGCAATAGCATGTGGCTCCTATCGTCGGGGAAAAGCCACATGTGGAGATGTTGATGTACTTATATCTCACCCTGATGGCAGGTCCCACAGGGGCATTTTTACTAAAGTCTTACAGACACTCCGTGACAGTGGTAAGCATCATTTTTGTTGATGGGAAAAACTTAAGCATGTATTTTATTTATTTATTTATTTATTTTTAATAAAAATCTCTTTATTTCTGACCTGTTTACTTTAAGGGTTTTTAACTGATGACCTGGTGAGCCACGAGGAGAACGGTGAGCAGAAGAAATACATGGGTGTGTGCCGTTTGCTGGGGCATGACCAACGCCATCGCAGGCTGGATATCATCATAGTGCCCTACAATGAGTTTGCTTGTGCTCTGATGTATTTCACTGGTTCGGCACACTTTAACCGTTCAATGAGAGCCTTGGCAAAGACAAAAAGAATGAGCCTATCAGAGCACTCCCTGAACAAAGATGTGGTACGTCAAGGAAGTGTGAAGGTGCATGGTGGCACTCCACTTCCCACACTGACAGAGAAGGATGTTTTTAGCCTTTTGGGCATACCCTACAGAGATCCCCATGAAAGGGACTGGTGATGATTTGACGATTAGCTTATGGTTTTATAGAAAAATAATTATGATGATAAGGAATAATGATTATTGGACTCAAACAATTTTAAGTATATTTTACAGGTCCTTAGATTATACAAGAGCCCTATTTGACTTGAATGCTAATTCATATTTTGCAAATTAAAGAATGGTGGTAGTCCAACCTTATAAAAAGCTAAAGCTTGTTTGTTGCCTGTGTTTAGTTCCAAAATGTCTGTGGCTACTGCACAAAATTGAATATTCTTGTTTGAACCAGGAATGTTTTTGGTGTGAGGTGGCAGTGGTAACTTAAAAGTGTGAAATTTAAACAACAACGGTGATCTAATACTGGCAGAAGAGGTTTTAGAGGCTTGTAAATTCAGAAAAGAAATGTGGGATAAGTGCCACTAAGTGAGTGAAGTGACCTTCAGTTCATGTCAGGAGGATGTTGAATGTTTTAAGTATTTTTTTTTTAAATATTACAGATGATAACAGAATGTAATAAAAGATTACACGACTTGTTTGTCTGTCTTTCTTTCTTTAACATATATATTTATTTGTTTTAGAACTAAGAAGTCCTGGTTAGAGTATTCACTAGTTAAGTGTTGTAGAGTTTTTGAACTTTGTTACAACGTAGAACCTCTCTCCCATCACTTTTATCACTTCAAAAAGGCCAAATAAAGGAAACGACTAACAAAAACACGGACGTTTTTATTTTGCTGTTGAGAAGAACTTGGCTGTTCCGAAGGTATGTTCCCACGAAACTGAGACGTTAACCCAGGATCATAACAACCCCATGCACGGGAGACGCACCGATTAGTGATTGGCCAGACTCTTCCCATCTGGCTGGGACTGTCCAATCGCTGGTCAATCCGCAAAACCAGTTATGATCCACGGCACCGAACGCCCATCACGTTGCGCACATGCAACTTATAGAGGTGACCACGCCACACCCAGCTGACCGAAGCGGAGTGCCTGAGCTAGGGAACGGCTTGTATAACAGCTGTATCAGTCAGTGGCACCGACAGCAACCAGTTGCGTTAGCATCGTTTTTTTGTAATGCCCAGTACGCAAAGGAGGCGGTGCTTACAGCGGCCTCGCAACGCGATACGGGCCGAGAAATACTTAAAGATAGTCGAACACAGTTTATGAAAACAAGTGTTTTGCATGCCTATGTTTCTGTTGTAGTCAGAGCCCCCTTTGGAGGAATGAGAGGCGAATGTTCGGGTCTTAAAATGGGATTGTTTTTGCACGCTGTTGGCTCTGTCACCCCCACCGAGTCCGCAGCAGCCGACACGGTAAGGTTGCTCACTCAAAAACAAGGCTTTCTCAGATAGCTAGCTAGATAGATACCGGGCTAAGGTAGACGACTATCCGAATAGGGAATTTTATTCTGCTTTATAACAAGCTCGCCTAGTCTTTGATACATTTTTAAAAATCTGCTGTCGTTGATATTTGCCTGCTGCAACTCTTACCGTGTTGTCAGGAAATACGTTAGCTGCCTGTTTGCTAGCTAACTTCGGCTGCTAGCTTCGGCAGCTAACGCACCGTTGAAGTAAAAAACACAAAGATCAGTGAGTCAGGGCCTTGGTCTGTTTTCTTTATGATAGGCGGTTGACATTTTAGCCAGAAGTGAGTAGCACGATTAGCAAAAGCAGTTCTTCATGCCTGACTGCTGCCATAGCAGTAAACAGAACAAAATCGTCTGACTTCGATCAAGAGCGGTGTAGTTACCAGCAACATAAAAATAGCTCGTATGAACTTCACTCTGTAATTAATTTGTGTCGAAGAGCTATATATTATTATCACTGTCTTGGCTTCGTGGTAGTCTGCTCCCATTATTTCAGTCTTTGGGCCTTGATGTTTTCCTTTTACAAAAATGAATGTAAAACATTGGGAGTAGCTTCGTGAACAGAACAGAACTGGATTCTTAAGTTTCTTCGTTTTTACGTAAACAGTGATGTACAGTTTTAACACATACAGTATAAAATCGGCAGTGATTTTTTTTTTTTTTAATTACATGAACATACATGAACTGTATATCCTCAATAAGAAGGCTTATTACTCTAAAGGGGGTCAGGGGTGATGTTTTAAATGTATTAGTCCTTGTTCTAGATTACATTAATGGTACTTCCCCCCCCCCCCACTTCTGGAGGCATGCTGTATTAAACCATATTGTTGTATTTTCTGTGACACACAACATATTTGGAAACAAAATTGGCCTTGAACATATGACTTTTCAGTGGTAAGATAAAAACGTAAAGAGAACCCTTGGTGTGTTGGGACGCCAAAGCTGAGGTCTATAATGCATTGCATAGTGTCATGGACACACCAGAAATGCATCTTCACGAGCTTGAACTGAACTGCATTTGGTTGCTGTTCGCTGCAACTTTCAAACAAAGTCCAAAGAGATCTAGATACAAGTGTAGGAGGACATCATTGGGCTGTAAAATCAAAATAAAACTATTCTAGAGACAGCAAAAACTGAAGGAGTGGCCAAATCAACAGTTCATTCTTAAGAAGAAGGAATGCACCAGCCAGCTCAGCAACCCCAGAAGAAATGAAAGACCACAGAAAATGACTAAAGCGGGTGATTGTAGTACTCTTTGTGCTGGCCAGGATATGCCGTTAAAAACATCTAGACATGGAGGAAGGTGTATTATTGTCAAAGTCTACAATCCAGAACATGATGGCCAGATTTGGTTTGACAAGCACCTGTCCAGTAATGAAAAAAGAATAGAAAAAACACTGGAAAGATTAAACCAAGATTAACTTCTACCACAATAATGGGAAGGCAGACGTGGTGAAAGAGGTTCATTATCTGAAACTTACAATATTATCTGTCAAACGGTGTGGAGGCCACTGTCAGCATGTATGGCTGCAAGTGGAGCTGGGTTACTAGTTTTTATTAATGATATCACTGCTGATAGACGTATCATGATGAATTCGGAAGTTTACAACACTATATTCTCAGCTCAGATTCAGTTAAATGCTTTAAAAGTGATCCAAAAGGTCAGTCATCTAAAACATAATGCAAAAGCAACCCAGAAGTTCCCTAAGAGAGAAAAATGGGAAATTCTTTAATGTGCTTTTAGTTACAGAATTTAAAAAAAAAAAAATAGGCAGAGAGAGACACAGACAAGCAACAAGTACTTTTACTCAAGTATTTAAAGTTGTTACTTTGTTTTATTACTTAAGTCTAAAAATGGGGGGAGTATTTATAAAAATGTATTTTCCAAACAATTAATTAAATATTTAAAGTATCCCCACTTTAGTTGTTTTATTTAAAATATACCATGGTGTAAGGCTGTGCGATATGACCAAAATCTCATATCCCGTTATAAGAATTCTATCGTCCTGATAACGATATAAATCACAAAAATGTAACATTTTCTGTAAATTCTGTGAATCTCGGGCAGCTCGACTTGCGGGAAGTGTTTCCAGCTGCGCGTCATGTAGCTGGAGTCGAGTGTTTTAACCGATGCATGAAACGATACATTTTTAGACATAAGTTGTAACGGCCGCCGTTTTCTTTGTGAGTATTTATTACACGGCGTGCTGCGGGGAAAAGCCTGTTCTAACGTTTGAGTCTAAGGTTTATTTTTTAGCACCTGGCGGCTCTTTTTTACTTCTCATCCGTAAATAATCTGCTCTTTCACGTGATTCAGTTTATTTTGAAAAGTCTCAACAGGATCTTGAGCTTTATTGTGAAAGGTTTATGTGGAACATAAACAAGCGGACACGCGATGGTGTTACCGTCGTTGTTGCTAACCACAACGCATAAAAACAGGCGCTTGTCCATCTGTAGTGTGGTTATATTAAATATAAGAGAAAGAGAGAACTTTAAGAAATTAATATAGCCACTACAGTGACCATCAAAACGATGAAAAAATATTGCCGTAAACAGTTTATTTTGCGACACCACGAAACAAACGATAGCGTAAAATGAAACGATAGACGTTTTTATATCGTCATCCAATATATATCGTTATATCGAACAGCCCTACCATGGTGGTATACACATGCAAAATGTATGCAAATGTATTGTTATTTATTTTCAAACAATCCTATGGACCTCTTTGTAGTCTAGGTTTGCCCTATCTTTGATATATCCTGTACTGCTCTAGCCTGTTTCACCAGAGCAAAATACTGCAACTGTCACTGTAAAAATGAGCTTATTGGTATGTTTTGTTTTGTTTTTCAGGACAATGTCAGTTATTAAGTCTTTTTAGAAAGTAAACATGAATGTATTTGTCCCAATTGAGTATTCAGCTTTATATGAAACTTGCTCTGTTTGACAGACTAGTTTTCAAAGCAGTTAAGCCCTGTGGGGATTAAGGCCACCAGCCAAAAACATGTTCGTCAGATATGAAATTGTTCTGTAGAGTACAAGTGGTGCTGGAGCTCTAACTTCTTCAGATTTTTGTTTTTGTGCATCTTGGAAGTAAGTGAAATTGTTTTGGAAACGTATACTCTGTTTCAGAAGTCTGTTTTTGACAGCAGGCTTGACTGGTTTGAAAGTGCCAGCTAATGTTGGTGCTCTGTTGGACTTGTATGTTGTTGATTATTCAAAAAAAATATCTGAAGAAACAATGGTCTGCTGTAATTCTTTTTCCCATTACCTTGTGAGTGATTTGAGCTGCTGTCAGGTAGGAGTCAACTGGATTTGCTTCACATAGTGAGAAGTCTCACCAAGTGAAAGCTACAGTTCACTTGTGTACTTACAAGAAAAGCTGATGAAGGAAATATTTGTTTTTTATTTTCATTGAAATTTAACAGTGTTACAAACAGTCTTCACCCAACTAACAACTCGACAACCAATCACAGAAAGGCTGGCTAGAGCCTAGCAAAGTTTTATTAATCAGGAGCAATGTGACAACATAATGTGAGCACTAAATGTGAAGTTTGAATTTAATGGGCATTCCTGTGTGACCAGAATCGTTAACTCGTTGCTTATGTCCAGTAACACTTCCAGGGAGGGTTTTTTTGTACTCAGTACTGGCAAGAAAAAAGAAGAAAGGGAAAATTATTATCCTACTGGCTTTAATACTTAATTTAGGTTAAATTCTTCACAAGTTTTGACATGTGTAGTGTAATAGATTATGAGTAAGTTCAGCACTTTGGGAGTAAAGTAATTACAGATGACTACTATTATCAATGTAATGTCACATGCTTTATGTCTTTATGTTATCAGTGCACGTGTGTGCAGGTAATTGCTGACAACAGAAGTATAAACTTAGTAGATGCAATAGATGCAGCACAAGATCCCGACTATATGTGCCATGTGCTTTCACACCTCCAAAACTTAATATAGTGATTTCAGGTATATTGTATCGGTTTCATGTTATTATAATAAGTGATTATGTTGATTACCATTTGGCAGCAGTTCATAATAAGAGTTATTCTCTTCATTATACAATGTAAGTTTGAAAAAAGGTCCATTCACATATTAAAATTACAAAAAAAAAAAAGCGAAAAAAAGACTTCCCAGGGTAGTGAAAGACAAAGCTAAAACTTTAAGCTTGACCTGCATGAGCTGTCACTCAGATGTTTTAATGGGTGGTAGGTTGGTATTCATCACTGCTAAAAGTCTGCGATTCTTTGTTTCTTTACTTAACCGTTTAAAGGAGTAGGAGAAACAAAAGGCTAAAAAGGCACATGGTTTGGCTTTTCACTGCTATTTTGACTTAAAGCCTTTTCAAACTGGCCCTAAATCCTGCAGTCCCTCTCAATCATAGGGTAAAGTAAGGGCAGCCTTTGAGACTAGGATCCTTGTCCCCGTCCATCTCTTGCTTTCTTCACACACATAAGCACCCTGAAATGTTTGTTTTGCCTTCCCTTTTTTCAGTAAAATAATTTCCTAACAGTGGAAACACGGTCATCAGGTTTTAAAAACAAAAAAAAACCATCAGCCTCAAAAGCTTAAAAGGTCTTCCCTAGCCATGGGACTCTTCAGAAAGAATTAGCATCAGTAATACCTCTGCACTGTATAAAAGGAGAAGTTTCTGACATGGTAATGTTGCAAAGTGTAGCTTACGCTATATTGGAAGACATCAGATGTAAAGCCAATCATAGATAATCCAGTTTGTAATTTTAGAAATTAACAACCTCTTAAACAGCCAAAACTGTTGTATAAATGTTTTCTCTTGAGGCAAAGCTTTAGCTGCTGTGAACATACTGTTTGTTAACTTGGAGATAAAATTCAGCAACTCTGGTTTACTAAACTCTCCTCCTAAGCTGCCGCACCTTTCTCGGGTGCATTCATAGCATTTACGGTTGCTGCAGGAGTTTTTTGTTATGCATAACCTTCATGACTATGAAAGGGTGCCTTTCTTTGTTGTAGGACAGATTAATAAAAGGGCAGCGAGGTCCTTGCATGCATCGTCTGACTTGCCAAGTTCTACAGGCCTGAGCTAAGTGGATCAACTCTGATTGTGCAGTCAAGACTTAAGAAAGAACTGCTGCCTTGTATCTCCAGTAACAGTGTCTGATTGTCACCAGCAGATGTTTGAACTGGTCATTTCAGCAAGTTCTCATTAATAAGCTTAATTTATTTTCTGATGCAACAGTAATCTCAGAGACAGTAACCAAATCTGCCTTTAATCTGCAAGTGTGGCATAAGAGAGGTGGATTGTCTCTGTTGATTGCTTGGATTAGAGACAGGGGAATCTCACTAGTCCAGATTCTTTGCTCGCTCACAGTCTCTTAGGGTGACTAAAAAGTAAGAACTGGGAGTGCTCTCAGATGTGTGGGGTTTTTTTTTTTTAGGTCTAGTTAGTGGTAATCACCTGATCTTTTTTTGGCAAAACAGATTAGTTCATGCATGTTCATGTTAAAGACTTAACTATAGTACTTTTTCCTGTTAAACTGTTTTGTAAAATCTTGAAGCCCCCTCCCCATTCATTACCCCATTCTTTGCATGCAGCACTGATGACTGAACACTCAGTGCTGAAGACCCAAACAAACTAGATGGTTATCTCTACTGAATTGCAATAAAAAGCCCAACCCCAAAGGAGCACAGCATATGGTTGAGATTGGCTTGTGAGTCAGTGAAAACAGCTGATGTTATCAAAAAACAAACTTAAGGAACAGAACATCCAGTAATTATTACAGAGAATTAAAGCTGTGGAACTGAATTTTAAAAAATGTCATGTTGATGAAGCCGAAACGGCTGACAGTCCATCAGATTTGAAATCGGGGCTATAATTTTATGTCAGCAGTTTGTTTTGTGCTGATCTGGTGTTTCTTGTGTGACAAATCATTTTTGTGTGTCTGGAGTTTCTTTGATTTTCTTTCGTTCTCTCCCTCCCTCATACTTAACACACTTCTCACCACTCTGCACAACTTATTTTCATGCAGTGGCTCAGCTAGCAGCTCGCTCTCCACTGCTGCTTGGAAATTTCCGTAAAGCAATCCTTGTCCACTGTTTGGGCCTGGATTGGAGTGGGCCGAGGGAGTGTGGGAGGGGTGTGTGTATGGTCTACAAAGACGGCGAGGAAGGCTGTGTGAGAGGGTGAGAGTATGCTTGAGAGCTGTTTGACTTTAATGACCCATGTGGTAGAGGAAACCTGTCTAGGATTTGTGGACCCATGATCATCATGCCTCTCAGTCGGGGACCTGCACTGGTAATCTACAGAGAGATAGAAAATCCAGTTATAGAACTTTGGTTAGCTAATCATTAAGCTAATCTAGAATAACTGATCTACTTGGAAAAGTTTGTAAAGCTGTCTCAAGGTTTTTGATTACAATGCTCTCTCCTTTTTTTTTTTTTTCTATAGTGACCTGTCTTCTCTGTTTATTTCACAATGGAAGTTTTTACAGGTTTGGTAGCAGTCAGCTCACTAACATGTTTTGTAAAGTTAACTGTTGACCACGCTGCTAGTTTGCTATATTGACTGTTAAAACAAGCAACCACGTGCTTGAAGTGGAGACAAGTGCCCTATTTATTTTTGACATTTTCCTCATTCTCATTTGGCCTTAGCTGAAGTTTGAATTTAAATTTCTTTTCTTTTTCACTGTTCTGGGAAGCATACTGGGTGGTTTTTGTGCTGGCTGTGATTCATACATTTACACTTGATATGTGTCTTAAACATTAGTGAAATTCTAGTAGTTTCCAAGCATAAGTGATTACGACATGTTCAGTTCAGAACAAGTATAAATGTATGGCTTCTACATTATCAGCAGTGATATTATTAATATTCACAATGACAAATCAAGGTTAGGTGTGTGTGTAGGTGTGTGTGTGTGTGTTTTGATTTGTTTGTTGTTTGTATTTTGTTTGTTTGTTTTAAATCTTCTGAATTCTTTCTCATATTAAAGTATCAGGATTCTGTATCACCACTTTACTCTAAGAAGATAATATTGGCTGATATCGGATTTAAAGTAGATGTACATGTCATTGTTCTGTTGGCAAGTGAAAATAAGTAATTGATTTTGATATTTCTTTTTTCTTTGTGTCACAAATATGGGGATAATTAACCTATGTCAACCAAATGTTCAGAAAGATTAACAAAACCCCAGATAAGGTGTATGCTTTAGTAAGCTGACTAAAATTGTATTTATATCCATAAGTATGGAGAACTTAAAGAACATAATACTCCTGTCGGTGGCAGTGATGACCATGTTGTTCAAACCAGTTTCATTTTGTAGACTTTTTTTTGTCGTGTTATAGGCTCAGATAATTTTTATTTTGTCTTTGTTATTGGACGTAGCTACTAACAAGTGACTGCATTTCTTTACTTGTTTTGTAGAGCCTGCTGCACTGTGAAGGTGTTAACAACCAGAGCTACATCTGTGAGTCTGGACATTGCTGTGGGGAATCTCAGTGCTGCAGTTACTACTATGAGCTTTGGTGTAAGTCTAATTTTCTTCTTGTGTGTTTGATCCTAATTCTTAAACCTTTCACTCTGTGACAGGCACTAAAAGATAAGGTATGACAAAATCAATCATTGTAATATTAAGCTGATGCATTGTAATAAGGACTGAAAGAGTAATGGGATAAATACACTTAGTACCGAAACAAGACTGGGACACATAAATTGTGATGCTTTTTTGTAAAACAAAAAAAATTGTAGTTTAAGCAACCTTACAAAACAAGATTAGATGTCTCGAAGTGGAGTGTCATCCTCAGAATTAAATTTACATTTTGTTCTTAAACTAAGACTGCCAGCAACAGTGAGCAAACTCTCATGGTCAGATGGAGCAGATCATGTTCACCAGGTTAAAGTATTTATAAGTGGAAAATTTGGGATGCTGGAAAAATTGCTTAATAGAAATAAAGGGCAAGAGGACAGACAAGGATGAAAGGGTGCAACGCTGGCATAATGAGTGAGTCCAGTTATAAAATCTATAGGGCTTGCCCTGTTTCATTAGCAGTTTAACTTGTTTATTATTATTATGTCTAAATGCATATTCAGCATTCATCATCTCAATTCTATTATATTTTAGGCGCACCTGTGTAGTTTTAGTCTTAGCTCTCTGTAGTCAGAGGTCACAGATTTGCAGGAACTCTCTGAGTGCAATGTAATCAACATTGTGATATCATGGCAGGGACTGCTGTTAAGATAAGTAGCAGATACAAGAATATCACCATTAAAAACATAGTGAAGCTTGTGCTTTATTGAGAATTTCCTGTACAGTGTTACACTGGGGAATACTAATGTTTAAATTAAATTGTTGTTGTTTTCTTCACATAAAGATTCTTAATAGGTACTCAAACCTTTTTTTAACCATGGCATGCACTCAGCTGGGTAATAAAAATGGCTTATCAGCTCTCATAAATCTACAAATTATGTAATGGTGAAACTGTTCTTGTTGCTTATCAGCTGGCACTGTTGAAATAACCTAATACTCTAGTGTTTTAGTCAGGTACTTTACCATTGATTCTGCATATCTGTTGAATGTATTGGGTGTTTTAAAGAAGTTGGAGGAACAGCTCAAGGGACAACATTTTTCCATAGGTGTTCATCTGGGTCCCAAACCATATAAGCAAAATCATCTTCTAAACCATTGCAGAGCTACTGCATCAATGTTTTTTCCCTTAATTTGTCACTTGTCTGTATATGCCCTGCTGGAAATGGTGACTACTAATGCAGAGTTGCATTATCTGCCTTAGTGCATTTATGTTTGATAAATTTGAAGTCTTGCCTAGCCGCAGTTACAAAAAGGTTGCCTCAAGGGCAAAAGTGAGGTATAGCAATTGGTGTGGGCTCTCTGTAAAAATAGAGGGAATTATATTACAGCATTAATTATTCACTGAGGACATGATGGGGAGTAAAATGCAGCTTGCCAAAAAATATTGATGTAATGAACTAAGATTCTTCAGTGCCCTGAATAAAAGAAAATGTCTCACGTTACATTCAAGACTGTATTAGCAGGGCTGGGTAATATGAGGAAAATCTAATATCACAATATTTTTTTGGCTATATCACGATATGTTCAAGTAACCTCCAAAAACAAATGTTATTTTCAACTATATAGTGCTTAAAATTGTACCGGTATACTAATTGAAATCTTTTTTTGAAGCCACAAGTTTGCCTGTCTTTTGTTCACTTTTGTCTTTACGCAACATTACTCGACCTCACCTCTCTCCTTCACTGAACACAACTCCCCCTCCTCCCCCATCGCTTCACCTGCAGGCAGCGACAAGATGGACAAGGCAAATCTGCGTTAACGAGTTACTGCGCATCGCCCCGTGCGTGGAGCTGGACGTTGTCAACGTGTTAACGAGCTAACCACGCCAACGCCATGCAGCCCAGAGGGGCTGCACAGCCTAAAATCCTTTCATTCTCTCAAAAGTTGACAGTGCGCCTTATGTATGAATTCTGGTTGTGCTTGATGACCGCGAACCGATTTTATGTGGTACATGGCGCTCAGCAATCTGTCAAAAAATGTTTGAGTACGACTTTGGTAAGCTACGGAGCTGCACCGCTTGATGGATTGTCGAAGCATTACGGCTACTGAGGAGCCTCGCGGAGTGATATGTACTGTGCTTCAACATAATATTACGGTATTGTGTGTGTGTATAAGGACCATAAATGGCACCTGTTCAGAGACATGGTTACGAAGCGGATTTCAAACTCCAGGCTGTCAGTCACGCAGTAGAAGTTGGGAACAGAGCAGCTGTGAAATCTGTCTGTTATTATGCTCGGCGTCTTTTAGTTTACATTTTGACTGCACAATTGTGAGCTCTTTGTTATGCACAAAAACAACATAGTTTTCTTTTATTTATGGAGCATTATTATTTAATAAATGCTCATAATTTATTTTTGAGTAGTTTTTTTTTTCATGTACATCTTTGCTGTATCTTAAAAGTACCTGTGTGACATCTGGGACACAGCTTTGACTAAGAACTCTCTTTTTGTTCTTACTTTATGGCTTTAAAAAAAAATATCGAGATATATATCTTATATCGCCATCCAGCTAAAAAATATCGAGATATGAATTTTGGGTCATATCGCCCAGCCCTAGCACTACACCCTTTTGTGGCAATGGGTTTTATGGCATGTTTTCTAAATTACTGCCTTTTTTCGACATCCTCTTTGTGAAGTCCAAACCACTGCCAGATTATTGATCCAGTGCTGTTTCTCTTTGGAACTAGTTAATCTGACTCCTCTTCAGTTACAGTCTAATTCCTTCACTTGTCTGAAACGCCTGCTGTCGCCATATTTGTTTTTTTTGTTTTTTTTCCCCCATCTGGTAGAATCTAAACACGCATACTCAGCACAGGGTGCCAGGTAAAAAATTTCCAATTTATACTCAGTGGCTATGATAGAGCCATTTTAACCATCGTACATGTAAAAACTTTTCATACATGAAGTATATGTGATATATCACCCACACCTAATCAAAGTCAGCTTTCTTTTATAATTTTTTTTTATGTTGATGTCCTGCAAACCTCAACATTTTGAAATGGATCCAGTTATTAGCACTCATCATACTATGAGGTCAAAACAGAATATTTCAGGCTAAGTAGCCTGAAAGACGTCTATATAGTATGCCTTCCATACTATGTAGAAATTTGGGTGCTGACGTCATACAGCTCTGGTGCCAAAGTGAAAAAGAATGAAAATCTGTCAGTACTCTGTTGTACTGATAAGAAGGAACTCTGATGTTTAAATGGATTTTCATGGTGTAAAGCTTATAATGCAATGCATACATAGTTGTTTATAGTATAGTATAGTATAAGCGTGTAGATGTTTCACTGTGTTGAACTGTTTGATCTGCAATGTTATGTTTGTGTTAGCAGCAGGCACTTGTTACATTACCACATGGATAATGGAGAGCACATTTTTGCCCACTTTGAACTATGTTGTTTTGCTTAATATTAAAAAAGTCACATTGTTTTCACATGTATTAACTAAACTAAATTGCTCTTCCTCTGATTTTAGGGTTTTGGTTGGTGTGGGCAATCATCTTCATTTTAAGCTGCTGCTGTGTATGTCATCATCGCCGCACCAAACACAGACTACAGCAGCAACAACGGCAGCACGAGATCAACCTCATTGCTTACCGTGAAGCACACAACTACCCCTCTGTGCCCTTTTACTTCAGTAAGCTCTGCCACTCGAACATACACCCACATTATATAAATCTTTAAAAAAAAAAAACAACAGCAAGAGAAACAAAACAACAAAATCTGTTGTTGATATTTTTACTATTTATTAACTTTTTTTAAAAAAATTTTATCATAACTGAGCAATTATGTATTTAAGGTTTCATCATTTCATTGGTTTTCATGAACAGTTTCAAGTGAACTAGAGTTGGTTATAGTGGTGAACATAATAAATAAACTCTGCAGTGTTTCTTAGCTCTCTTTAAGGAGATGATGTGTCTTTGTTGTATTTAAAGCAAAAAGCCTAAAATAAAGTAATTACTGTTACTTTATTAATCCTTTAGGATCAATCCAAAAATTGTGAACTAGTTTAAGACTGCTCACAAGAGTTTAAAACAGGCTCAGTTTCCTATTATTTGGTCAACAATCCAAAGTTGTGAGAAATCGGTGAACATGGAATTAAGTCAACTGGTATCAGCTCTAGAATTACAGTAAGAAATGCATTTGAGATTTTTATTCTTAATATTGATGGTTATTAAATGGAACATGAGTACACATACACATCAATACAGTACAGTTAGTACAGTATTTATCATTTGTTCCAAAACTAGAGCTGCAACAATTAATCGAGTGATTCGATAAAAATTTCTCGACACAGATTCTTTGCTTAAGTGTTTCGTTTAACACACAGATCTGTAGCATGCCACTGTCGCAATGGAAACGCGAGACACATTTGCGACTAAAACAGACCTGCAATACAAATATATTTGGGAGCAATGAAAAGTTTGACAACATTAAGCCCACACACAATGATAACACAACGGCAGCAGGGATGATGACACTGGCACAGTTTAACGTGGAGTCGGTACAAAGCAAACAGGTGGAGCCGTTATTAAGACAGTGAGCTCAGGTTGAGTGAAAGAAAATGTGTTTCTAATATCCATAACAGCGGCGCTGTTTACTGGGTAAAAATCTCGGGTTCTTCATCAAAGCACCTGATCAACAAACTCCCAAGGTGATAAGAAGCAAACTTTGTAACTCCCTCCACCGAAGTTTGTTTTATACATAGAAAAATCAGCTGTAACTCAACAGAAGTTTATTGGAAATATGCAGATCAACTGTTAACTTGGTGTGATGCCATGTTTAGAACACACAGGTTGCTGTATAAGTTGACTAACTGTAGCCGTACTATTTTACATTGAAACTAGTGGTGCAATGGATCACGGTTGATCCGAAATCCGAACTGATCCCACTCCACGGTCCGGTACGCACGTGATCCGAAGATTCGAAAAAGAAAAAAAAAAGTATGTGTATGGTGCGTGTGGTCAGTTTGTCACGCGGTAGTTATGGCCAGCGCTAGCGGTCCGAGTAGAGGAGCAACCTGTGTGTTTTAAGCAGCCCTTTGCTGCCCAATCCGACCGGGCTAAAGCTATTACAAAAGCTATTGGGGTGTTTAGCTGCAGACGGGAGGCCGTATTCCGTTGTGCAAAACAAAGGGTTTAAACGGTGATGAACGTGCTTGAGCCACACTATGATATCTCGTTGCGTGTCCACTTCAGTGACAAGATCGTTCCAAGCATGTATGCGCAGGAGAAGTTTTAAGTTATGGCTGAACTGTCCCAGGCATCTTCTGTTGCTCTAACTACAAATGGGTGGACCTCCAGGGCAACGGAAAGCCACGTGACCGCTCGTTATATCACAGCGGAGTGGTAGATACAAAGCCCTGTACTGCCCTATAGATTACATTCAATTAGATGGAACTATATTTATTCCTCGGGTGGGTTCCTCCAGGAAATTCAGTTTCCAGTAGCACAGCACCGACAGAAGTTGCAAAATGTGAGCAGAAATATACCTTTTTAAGGACTTTTTAAGTCTGCTGGTCCTTGACTTTGGGAGAAGCAACCTCTCACTGAACAGACTCGTCTGGTTGTTTATGGCTATGTGCAGAGGATGTAGAGGATGCCCAGCATGGTCCATAATGTCCATATTGCACCTTTAATTTTTTTTTTTTATATGAGTACGTGGAATGAGTCTTCAGCTGAATTTTTTTAATAGGCAAAAAATACTTAAGTAAATGGCGAGTCGAATTTTTGTCTTTTTTTTCTTTCTATTTTTGCTGATCCGAAAATTGATCCGATTTGTGACTTAAAAC